ACAGATGAAGCCAGATAGCCTCTTCCTCATTTACGCTCTCTGCACGTCCGAACTTTTGCTGTGTTTTTGATCCTCTCTGGCTGTTGTTGTTGTTTTTTTTTTCATTTTTCTTTTTTTTGTCAAAGGGAAAGTCTGCACGGACGCGGTTCGACGTGCCAAAGCTGTTGCAATATTCTGCAAACTAGAATCAACAAATAAAAGTCGTGCGTTCCACTTTGACCCGAGTGCTTTAAGACACAATTAACCAATCAAAGAGCAATAAAAACACAGCCTGCACGAGACACACAAAGGAACCATTGCAGGGGAAAAAGCGGTTCCTGCACCTGTTTGACAAAGCAAAGCCAAAAAGTAAAGGAAAATACAGCTAGTGTCAATATACACAGCCCCCCCCCCCGCCCCCTCCCCGATTGATTCCCGCATGTGTGTTTTCGAGCCAAAATATGAAGGACAGAAAACCGAGCGCAAGACAGCGGCTGGTGATGGATTGTAGAGTCGCGGGTCGTTATCTACAGATACGGATGGTCGGATCGATAGGATCACCCCAGACACCATGTGCACGCGTGCTCGACTTCCGGGCTGACGACGGGCACGTGTGACGCATCCGTCTCTGGGGCACGCCGAATCAAAGTAGACGGCGGGCGAGGAGATGAGGAGGCGTGTGGATGTGACGCCTCGGATGGAAATGGCGGGAATGAGCGCGCAAATCTGGCGAGACCTTGATGCCGGGCCAAATGAGTGCACGCGCGCACACACACACACACACACACACACACGTTATCATGGTTTGCCCTATTTCATTCAAGTCAAGTGCATCCGAGCGGGATTGGCAGTGGGGGCTGGGGAGGGAACAGCCAACACACACACACACACACACACACACACACACACACACACACACACACACAAACACACACACACACACACACACACACACACACACACACACCGCCCTTCCCTCCTCCCTGCCTTTGGTCCTCAGGATGATCAAACATCACACAGTTACGACAAGCTCAACCGTTCAGCAACAGATTTGTGTCCGAGCCATAACGTCACATTTCGTCCAATTTGTCATCCAGCATTTGCAGCAGTAGGAAAAGCAGGGTTCTGATAAACATTCCAATTGATTTTGACTTTTTTTTTAGTTTGATTTCGTGAGTTTTGAGAGGGTTAGGGTTTGTTTGTTAGTTTTTTTTTTTTTAATTCAATTCAGTTTAGTTTTAGGCTTAGTTTTAGCTTTGTTAACTATAGTATATATAACATGTTTCTGAACATGTTCAAAATTTCATGGCGACAAGATTAACAAATAAATAATATCATAAATAATATGACAAAGGTCAGTAAGTGTTGCGGAATTAAAGTAAAGTCCAATTCTCAATTCGCAGTTAATTTTTATTTGATTTCATTCACAATTATTTTTTTTCCATTTTAGTTTCCATTTGGTTTTTTGTTTCCTAAAGTGTTGCTTGCAGATTTCTCTGACAAAGTGACAGCCGGCGTAGGTGGACAGGAGCTTCACGCCGCCATGGCAGCTTTAGAGCGCCTCGTTGTCACAGAGGGATTCTGGGAAGTAGTTGCATTGTCACAGCTCGTACACGTCGATGCATGTAGGCAGACAAAAGATGCTAAGCTTTCAAATTTTTTTGCGGTGTGTCAAATTTAGAGGACCTTAATTTTCACTGAACAAGTTTAATCAATATTTATTACACATTTACCAGAGGCTTTTTTTTTTTCTGCACTCCTCACCTCACCCCTTTCCCATTCCGTTCCTCATCTCTCGTCGTCCCGGCCCGTCAGTGCGATTTCAGGCTCGGTGGGCTGGGCCTGACTTAGTGTCATACGACTGAAGCAGTAATTACCCTCATCTGAGAAACGCCGCCGCTACCTATCAAGCGCGGGCTTAACCTCGCTCTGTATGCTGACAAACTGGGGGCCAAACATGAGGCCGTTGTCGGACGCTATTAACCCGCAATTAAATTACAATCATCATCACAAAAAGACGGGGTGACATTTAAATCCACAAATTGAGGAAGGATTAGGAGCAAAGAGTACTTCTCTCGGGATGCGTTATCTCGAGGCGACGCCGTGGAGAAAGGGTAATGTGGATTAATCAAACTTTCCACTCTGTCTCGAAGCGGCTCGGCTTTACTTATCGTAACAAGTTAAGCCAACCGGTTGTGCGGGGGCCCCCCGTTGGGTGAACAGGAAAACAAAAAAGGTATTTGTTTCATTCTCGATCACTTCTTTATGGGCGGTTCACCTGTCAGAGTTTTTCAATAGAAGGAGGAATAAGCCTCAAAAGGAGGAGCGGATCTGCAATTAAAAGGCAAAAAGCGCTGCGCTTGTCACGTGCGGCAAAATGACAGAGGACTGGTTTGGGAAAACCCAATGAGAAATAAAATATGACACCATCGCACGTACGGTATGAGAGTGACGCCTGAAAGGCTGCAGCTTTCAACTCCGACTGGGCGCTAAGCCAAAAAGTACACTTATTATGGGGCATTAGCGCTAAAAAGCGGCTGTTAAATTGTCCATCACAGGCGGATTGCGAGATCGCATTGAGTCATTTCTTTCAGCGGCTTTTTCATTCACTTTGAGTCAATCCGCCGTTCCATACGAGCGGAACGTTGAAGGCATTGTGAAGCTGCGTCAAGAAAACGGCCATCTTCAACCATGTCGTGCCTGCGTGGCTTTTCCCCGGGTACTCAGTTTTCCTTCCACATTCCAAAAAAACATGAATGGCAGGTTCATGGAACCCTCTAAATTGTTCCGAGGTGTGATTGTGAGCGCGAATGGTTGTTCGTCTAAGTGCAATTGGCTGGCGACCGGTTCAAAAATGTCACTCATTATTGTGCAATCAAGCAAAATAAACTACAATTCTCAAATGACCGTTTAACCTTCTGGGGATCAACCCTTTCAAGGATAGCGGTGACTACAGTGGACAGTTTATCGTGTTATCAGGTTACAGGGTGCATGAAAGGGTTAATATGCACTTGAATGCAGCTCTATTGGCAAGAGACGTTCATTTCTGCAGCACTCGTCCTCATTCGGGCCACGCGGAACGACACCGTCGCGGTTAACTTTGGACCAAAGAAAAAGTCGGGGTAAGTCTTGAACTTTCCGTCAGTCTATTTGCTCATATTAGACAATCATTCGCATTGACAGCTATTGGGAATGGGTCATCGAGTTCTCAAAATGAAGAGAATTTTTGATGTTGGGGCTTGCCTTTGCTGGAACTCAACTGCTCAAAGTCAACAGAATGAGTCATGTAATGGTCAAAATCCACCGCGGTTCACTCCAAATCCAAACACGGTTTAATTTTCAAGCAACACTGACTTAGTGTCATACGACTGAAGCAGTAATTACCCTCATCTGAGAAACGCCGCCGCTACCTATCAAGCGCGGGCTTAACCTCGCTCTGTATGCTGACAAACTGGGGGCCAAACATGAGGCCGTTGTCGGACGCTATTAACCCGCAATTAAATTACAATCATCATCACAAAAAGACGGGGTGACATTTAAATCCACAAATTGAGGAAGGATTAGGAGCAAAGAGTACTTCTCTCGGGATGCGTTATCTCGAGGCGACGCCGTGGAGAAAGGGTAATGTGGATTAATCAAACTTTCCACTCTGTCTCGAAGCGGCTCGGCTTTACTTATCGTAACAAGTTAAGCCAACCGGTTGTGCGGGGGCCCCCCGTTGGGTGAACAGGAAAACAAAAAAGGTATTTGTTTCATTCTCGATCACTTCTTTATGGGCGGTTCACCTGTCAGAGTTTTTCAATAGAAGGAGGAATAAGCCTCAAAAGGAGGAGCGGATCTGCAATTAAAAGGCAAAAAGCGCTGCGCTTGTCACGTGCGGCAAAATGACAGAGGACTGGTTTGGGAAAACCCAATGAGAAATAAAATATGACACCATCGCACGTACGGTATGAGAGTGACGCCTGAAAGGCTGCAGCTTTCAACTCCGACTGGGCGCTAAGCCAAAAAGTACACTTATTATGGGGCATTAGCGCTAAAAAGCGGCTGTTAAATTGTCCATCACAGGCGGATTGCGAGATCGCATTGAGTCATTTCTTTCAGCGGCTTTTTCATTCACTTTGAGTCAATCCGCCGTTCCATACGAGCGGAACGTTGAAGGCATTGTGAAGCTGCGTCAAGAAAACGGCCATCTTCAACCATGTCGTGCCTGCGTGGCTTTTCCCCGGGTACTCAGTTTTCCTTCCACATTCCAAAAAAACATGAATGGCAGGTTCATGGAACCCTCTAAATTGTTCCGAGGTGTGATTGTGAGCGCGAATGGTTGTTCGTCTAAGTGCAATTGGCTGGCGACCGGTTCAAAAATGTCACTCATTATTGTGCAATCAAGCAAAATAAACTACAATTCTCAAATGACCGTTTAACCTTCTGGGGATCAACCCTTTCAAGGATAGCGGTGACTACAGTGGACAGTTTATCGTGTTATCAGGTTACAGGGTGCATGAAAGGGTTAATATGCACTTGAATGCAGCTCTATTGGCAAGAGACGTTCATTTCTGCAGCACTCGTCCTCATTCGGGCCACGCGGAACGACACCGTCGCGGTTAACTTTGGACCAAAGAAAAAGTCGGGGTAAGTCTTGAACTTTCCGTCAGTCTATTTGCTCATATTAGACAATCATTCGCATTGACAGCTATTGGGAATGGGTCATCGAGTTCTCAAAATGAAGAGAATTTTTGATGTTGGGGCTTGCCTTTGCTGGAACTCAACTGCTCAAAGTCAACAGAATGAGTCATGTAATGGGCAAAATCCACCGCGGTTCACTCCAAATCCAAACACGGTTTAATTTTCAAGCAACACAAAAGCGATGGCAAAAGATGTCAAATATTCAAAGCATTTGAGGTTAAAACATTGACCGTGAAATGGAAAGGGAACAGTGCACTTCGAAATCCATCAAACATATTTTTGAAGGACAAGTAGGTAAAAACAAACAAACAAAAAAAGTTATGAAATAATGATCTTACTTCATGGGCTTGAAGAGAGCTTGTCCATAGTTCTGGAAGGTCATAATGAGCTTGAGTTGAGTGCCTCCAGATTTCATCGCTGTTGGAGTAAAAAAAACAAACAAACAAAAAAGCATAAATAAAATATTGATATGAAATTATTTACACATGGTCGAACTTTGCACGTTCAAATTATAAATCACACATCATTTGTCGTCAAGCTGGTCATTGGGCTTTAATGAATGCATTCCGAAAAACAGATAAAGAAATAAACAACTGGTTCAATTTAATCCAATGAGTTGATCATTTTTTTTTGTTGTACAATACAGGTAAACAAAATGACAACCGACTTAATTCCGTTAAGCTCCCTATCACCCAAAGCCTCTGTTTCAGCTGTTTTCTGAAAAGCTTTCCTCATAAAGCCGCACAAATTAAACAAAGCTTAATAAACCTCTTAAAGCATGATAAGAAGAACGATGCATTTTTTTTTTTGCCCGCGGGGCTCCACTGATTTTTGATGCATAAACAAAGCAGAGGCAAAGCCTGTTTTCATCAAAAGTAGCCCTGAAGAAACATCACAACAAAATGCCCAACACGTGTATCATATGAAGATCTCTCAATTGTCATAACACGATTCATGAATTTGATTTTTTTTTTTTTTTTTAGGACAGAAAGGTAAACATGGAAACTAAATATGAAAATCCGACATGTGCTTGTCTGTGTGTGTCATGTCCCCCCCCCCTCTGAACACTGTTTTCCAAAAAGCAAAATAAGTGACTTTCCTTCCTTGTTATTTCTCCTCAGCGCTGATCGATTGCAAAGCTCGGGTTCGGAAGGCCTCGGGCCAAGGAACAACCTTCAGAATCAATGATTTAATTTCTTTGTACATATTGAATCAAGAGCGGCGTGGCGGCGTAGTGGTTCGCGACCAAACGTTCCAAAAACAAGCATGTTAGGTTACGTTGAAGACTCCAAATTGTATGAAAATTCTTGAAAAAAAAATGGCTGGATAAACTTCCAATTTGACTCCTAAAAACAAAGTCCAAAAGAAAAATATTAACAAAAAAATCTGCCACCAATGCCAAAAGGGGATCCACCCCCGTCCTCAACCCCCCCCCCCCCCCCCATTGAAATGATTTAAAATGCCCGTACAGTAATCCAGCAGCCTCTGCGTTGAGCGAGGTCTGGAGCATATGCGACGAGACCTCAGTTCAGCAAGCCGCCAAAGAATTTGGCATTTGAACACGGGGTGTGCAGACTTTTACAAGTCCTCTGCTTGTTGCGATGCAAATGAATTGCGAACGGATAAACATCCACAGCTAATAAAGAAATTATTATTTGTCCGGCCTGTCTCTTTTTTTGCGGTATCGCCGTATTTTTGGCGCCTTTGCTTTGTTTTCCACCGATGGAAAAAAAAAAAAAAAACAACTCGGTGTATGATAAATGCAAGCGTTGCTATCCGTAAGTTCGGATAATAACACAGTGCCGTTGGCTTGTGTTGGTGTTGTGCCCCCGGCCTGTGTCACGGCTCTGTAATTACTGAGTCACCATGTATTTAACCGTCTACAATGCGCCTTCCTTCAATCCACCCAGTCGGGGAGTTAGAAAGTAAGAGGGAGAGGAAATCACGCAACACCCAGTCAGAAATTGGAGGAGAGAGGGGGGAAAAAAAAAATAAAGAATCCCCAAGTCGTCCTGAGAATGTTGCTTTTGTACCGCTTCATGCAAAAACTCCCAGGTAAGTTCTTCGTCTTCGCCAAAGGCCACTTGGAGCTTTCTCCGAGCCGAGAATCTGGCAATTCCCCTTGAAGAGTTACTGCAGCGTGAGCGACCTGAGGCAAGAAGCACTCCTGGAATTTAGGAACAAGACTGAGCCAAACAGGAAGACAATCCCTTCTGAATTTGGGGGGGAAAAAAACAAAACAAAACACGAGCTCTGTCAGGTGTCTGCGGAGTGCCTGATTGACATCGTGACTTGTCGATCAAAAAGCATTTGACCGGAAATCAAACCGTGGCCACTAGCTGTGGGAAGATTTGCCGTTGCTCTTCCAGGCTTGATGCATTCTTCCGCTGTGCTTTTGACACCGTAGGAGAGTCGATTTGGCCTTTGGCTGATTAGACTCAGCTTGTGTCGTATGACAAAGCCTGCGGGCGGCTTAAGTCTTGATGCATCCTTGCGTGTGCGCTCGAGTGTGTTCACAATGTCACCGCTTGTGACGGTGAGGACCGCATTTGACTGTCACTTCAGCAGCCTCCTCCTCCTCCTGCTGCTGCCCCTCCCACTCCAAGATTGCAGTCAAACACACGGTCAGAAATGGACATACAAGCTCCGGCCATTTTTCAGATTTTTGGCCAATATGAAACGAATTGAACAAAAATTCAGATGCTTTATTCAACATTGGCCCGCAAATGGACTGAGAAGGGGTTAAGTCATTGCGCAAGCAAGTCACACGGCAAAAAAAAAAATCGTGTCGTGTTGTACACTTTGCTATGTCTGCTAGCAGTGTTATCGCTGATATTAAAAAAAAAACCCAAACGGAATGAGAACAAAACATTGAAGCACTTGTAGGAAAAGTTCCAGAACAAATTTGATTGTCTTTTAACCCTTTCAGGGTCACTACAGTGGACGGCTGATCATGTTATCAGGTTACAGGTTGCATGAAAGGGTCTTTCATCACTTACACACTCTACTTGTCCATGTCTCATTTGGGGACTTTCGTGAATGAAATGAAAACAAACAAGGCGGCAACAACGGAAAGAATTCTATGTGGCTAAAAAGAAGCCATGCTAGTAGTTGTATTGTGCTCCTCCCGTTCACGTTACTGTTCTGTCCCTTCCACGAAGCAAATCGGCAGACTGCAGCGAGTCAGTTTTCGTTCGCGCCGGCAGCAAGGTGCCAAAAACAATGGTACAACGTGAAAGCGCCAACGGCGGAAGGGGAATCTTGCCACTCACCCACGCTGGTGATCCTCTGGTTGACGAGATCCTTCAGCAGAGCGTCGATGACGGGGTTGTGTCTGGAGTAGAGCTCGTAACGATTAATCCCAATGTGAAAGCGCAGCCAGTTGGGATAGGAGTCGGCCGTCAGCTCTCCGGTCGGGCTGAACTCTTCGGGATTTCCTTCGCCGTTCCTGTGTGAGAGGATTGACGGTTTTGTTTTTTTTTCTTTTGACAGTTGTTGCACAGAAGCCGAACAAATGAGATCGCACAATCCGGCGCACACTGATGTACAGTATTGTGGCTTCATATGTGAAATAAATCCATCCATCCGTTTTCTATCAGGCAGTCATTCACACCTATGGACCATTTTGAGCACAGGTGTCAAACTCAAGGCCCGGGGGCCAGATCAGGGCCGTCACATCACTTTTTTCTGGTCCGTGAAAGCAACTAAAATGGGTTTATTTCATATTTCTTGCTCAATGGATTTGTTATTTTCAATTCTGTCTAGAACCCGTTTCCAGATTTTCTTCACAGATATCAAATGCATGTTTGTGGAGTCTGAAAGGAACCATCGGGAATCATGCAAACTCCAACCGGGAAGACTGGGGGTGAGATTCAAACCCTGAACCCCTACTGTGTATCACTGTGCTGTCTTGCAAAGGCGGCAACTTTCTTGCTTGGGATTCATGATTATAAATTTAAAAATATATATACTTAACCACTCCTGCTCTGCTGCTTTGGGATCAAACCGGATGTCCGTGTTGACGTTGAACAGCGTATCCTCATCTGTGAGCGTAGGCAAGGACCTTTTATACAAAGGGTGCTCATAGAGGGCGGCCAGCCTCGAACCCTTGGCCGGCGTGTTCTTGCTGACCGGCGCGTCCTGGATGTACTGCCTCTTCCTGTCCCCGCGTTGGGCGTAGTGCTCCGGCCTCCTGATCCCACCCTGAGACTTGTCTCCGGCAGCGGGGCCCTTCTCCAGGGAATGGGACGAGACGTTGGAGGCGCTGGGCTCGTTGCTGAAGTCCTGCAGTATGCGCAGCGTGTGCTTGTTGGGCCAGCCTTGCTTGGCCCAGCTGCGGGGCTCCTCGCTGGGCGCGTGCGAGCAGGAGCAGCCTCCGGCGCCTTGCCTCTCGAGCTTGGGCAGCAAGTCTATCATGATGTGCATGGAGCACGCCACCAGGAACACCATCAGGATCAAAACTCGGAATTTCCGCAGGAGGATCATCTTCATGGTCTCCCTTTTGAGCAGATGTGAGTATTTACTGCAGATGATGAGCACGCATATGCACAGGCTGACTACATCGCTGATGATGTTAATCAGACTGGACGCCAGTCTAATGAAATATACATTAAAGACCAATGAGCCATCTTCACTTGCCGTCTTGAGTAGAGGATTCAGTGTTCAAGCGTCATGGAATCAGCATCCGAGTCCTGTTGGATGTTTTGGGTTTTTTTTTTTCCCTCCACCCCTCGAGCTTTGTGCAGATTGTTCAAAGGTTCATCAGCGAGCGTCCAGGTGGACCGGGTCGAGCGGGTTCAGACCAACGGTCGATTTGCGCAAACCACATCGTCGTCACGCGGCTGCTCTCCAAACACATCAGGCCAAAACGCGGAACCGAATAGGGATCCGTTAAACGGGGAGGTCCGGAGACGCGCGTCGGTCCAACGTCCGCGCGCAGCACGTAGAAAAAAAAAAGAAGAAAAAACACCCAAAAGCTCGTCTCTTCACGATCAAGCTTTTTTCTTTTCTTTTCTTTTTTTTTTTGTTAAAGGCAAAGTCCTCGCAAGTGGTCGACGCGCACTTATCCGGAAAAAACAAACAAAAAAAAATCAGCTCTCCGCGGGTTAACAATTCTCAACGCAGGCGGCTCTGCCCGGACAGGTAACGAGACGAAGGAGAGAGCGGAGACACCTTCGGGGCGTGCAGCTGGATAAACGGAGGGAGGAAGAAGAAGAAGCACGCCTCGGAGCAAGTGAGGGTGTTAAATATGATGGTGAAGTCAGGGCAAAATCCAGCCTTTCACTCTGCGTCACTGCGCGCAGATTGGCTGAACTCAGATCCATAGCGAGGGGAGAGAGAAAGAGAGCGAGAGAGACATCAATGATTCTCTGTGCTCCTCTTGGAATAACCTGCACGTCCAGGCCGTGCAAGAAGAGGGCGTCTTTTCACTGGCCAATATTTAGCCTGGCTCATATACAATGCAGCATTTTTTTTTTTTTTTATCCTCACATGAAATTCATCTGCTGGAATCTCTCTGAAATGCCTCCATGGAGACGACAAGTCAGTCCATCAATGAACCATTAGGAAGGCCTATTAGGGCGCTCATCAGTCACCGCAGCCACTCCCCAACCTGCTCTGGCGCTCCTCTGCTTCAGTCTGTTTGAAAGATGGAAGACACATTTTTAGTCGTCTTTTTGGCTCGGGAAACCTCAAGGAAGATATTCATTTCCGTGGCAAACAAAACAGAGTCGGTTTCAGTGCAAATAGTAGTCGTGTGGTTTATTTGTTCGACATGCTTTGCATCAAAGAGATCTCGAAATGCGTCCGCTGCTAAAAGACTTAAAAATTAACAACGTTCTTGTACACTTTGACCCTGGCCCATAAGAGATTAAAATGAAGAGCACAAATATGCCAAGTATAATTCTTTATGCATTTTTAGCCACTATTAACACAGCATATACACACTATACAGTTCACTGATTGCATTAAAATCCATCTTAGTTTGAAATCAATACTCAAATATGACGGCAGAATGGGACTACGATTTGCACATTTACATTTCATTGTTGTCATGTCTACCGTTTAAGTTTTCGCATGCAAAAAAAAACTATTACACATCCGCTGTATATATTAACGTTTCCCACTTTGCACGATTTATACAAACATTACTTTTACGCAACAAGCTACAGAGCTTTTACGTGAAGTTTGCACGTTCTCTCGCAGTGCCTGTGTGAATTTTCTCTTTGTACTCCGGCGACTTCCTGCCACATTCCAAAAACATTCATGTTAGGTTCATTGAAGCCATTTAATGGACAGCGGTTACTTCAGTGGACAGCTTATCATGTTACAGGGTGCATGAAAGGGTTATTTGTCTATATTTAGCCTGTGATTAGCTGGCGACTAATCCAGGGAGTACTACGCCTCTCACCCAAAGTTAGTTGTTTAAATTAGTGTAATATTGGGGCTGACTTCGCTTTTGTTTGGGGCTCATCCCATTTGCATGCAGCATAACAGTGACATGCACCTTCACCATGTTTGATTTGAACCCTGGATATGTAGCCACCCGGATGGAGGTAGCATCAATCTACCCAAACAAAAAAAAATGGATCATTGACCACTAATCAAGTGCAATCGTCTCATCGTGATCGGCACCACGTTACGGCTCCACTGATGCTCCCCAGCTGCTTTAACTTGGCGGCAGGGACGTGAAATAAAAAGCTAGCAATGTACCACGGCGTGCATGCAGCGGCGAGCCATCCGTCCGTTTGCGATCCCGTTTTAGATTAGGTTGTGATTGAAGGAGACCGAAGAAAGTGGAGGTTGGACAGCGCTTAAGCAGGAGGCGAAAGCCAAGTTTCATAAGGGAGGAAAGTAGAGATGACTTAAGAGCAAAACACCCGTTGGAAATGCTAATGAGGTTGACGGAGATGCAAAATGAAACGAGCGGAAGCCGAACGTAGCCGCTCCCAGCTGGACTGCTTAATAGTGCAGAGAGAAGCACAGAGTGTCACAGGATTGTTTATTGTGTTCGACGCAGAGGGAAGTCAGTTGGACTCACTATGAGGGGACGCAATTGGAGGGTACAAGATAACATAAGCTGTCCACTGCATTAACCGCTGTCCCCCAAAAGGGTTAAAATGACCCATATAGTTGATTATGTGTGTGAAAATCTACGATGTAAATCAAGTCCTATTTCGAATAAGCTCCATAGTCAGTTCATTTCTGTAACCCGGTGTCTAATTTCCGACAAGGTTCCATCGGACTGATTCCCCTTTGTCGTGGTGTTTGGTGTCAGTGCGGAGGACAAAGTGAAGCTTGTTGACTTCCCTCACGTCACGACAGCCGCGAGCCCGTGGCCGGCCCACTGGCCTGGAGGTGAAACAATCCCTGATGAATGTGTATTGACGTCAGTCAGCCATGGATCACATCAGTCGATGGGTCAGTGGTTCCCTCACAAGGCCGTGTCTGATGTGCGATTGTGGTCCAGCCTTTCGGCGGAAATCGAGAAGCGCCGCTTGGTTCTGCCTCACGCGCGGCTGTGACGTTGGTATTCTACGTGGGCGGAAAAAAAAAAAAAAAATCTCATTCAGTCATCTGTCAAATGATATTCGAAGGTCGGATGTGGTAATAGGAGTGGATAGTTGCGGGACAACTGTTGGCAAGCCCGCTCAATTCATAATTCTCACTCTGTGACTGTGGGAAGTGATGCAAACGGCGAAACGTTTTGATTGTCTCCAACGGTGATGATCCGGAATTAGGGATTAGTTGTAGGAGGTGCCGACCCGGATGTTTTTTGTCTTTCTTTCTCATTCCTATGCACCATGGCCTCATATTGTGGAGTATTTACTCAACAGCAAAGAGGACTCGAATTCTACTTCATTGAACTTCCAGTGATGAGAGAGTTTGAGAGTGATAACGGCAAATTTAAACACACCTTCTCCCCATTCACACCCGAGATCTAATTGGGTCAAGTTTGGACTTTTTCACTTTGGGGTTTGCTCACTTTTGTTGCCAGCAATTTACCAAACGCCTACTTGTGGGTGTGGGAAACATTTTTCTGCCTGATTTTTTTTTTTCTTCTTCTTCAGAGGTCCTTATCACAGTGTGCGCCATACAGTAACGGAGTGACAGAGCAAACAACATTCGCTGATATGTGGTGTGACGACAGTATTAAAGGCGACCAGGCTTTACACAGACAAGATCAGGAGGAGGTGGAGGGCATCGGAACAGATAGCTGACTGCGGCACAGGCTGTAAATTCACAAGATTTATATCCCTTTGCGTGTTCCACAGCGGATCCTGGCGAGATAGCGAAAAAAAGAGGAGAGCGAAAATCACGGCTTCATGGTCACACGGAATTCTTACTGGTGTGTCACTGGATCAAGGCTGACAAGGAGACAAGATGGTTCCAGTCGGCATGAAGGGTTTTCAGCTGATTAACATGGCATAACTTTTGAACTCTTTTTTTTTTTTTAAAAACAGGAATGTAAAGTTTTCATTCGAGCGGGTTTGTAGAGTATAGAATATGGCTGTTGCAGTTTCTTTATATGTCAATTTGAAAATGTCATTAACTTTGCGTGGGTTTTTTTTTTCCCCCCTCACAGTAGACTAGCAAACCACAGCTCAACTGATTTATCACGCGGGCTTCTAGATGACGTTCAAACGAAAACATGAAACGAAACGCGTGGAAATAAAATGTTAGCCCCTGTGTTTATTAATGTCGCGGGAAGAGGAGGAGGAGGAGGAGGAGGCGGGGTTGGAAAGTGAAATGAGGCGTCATCTTTGGCGCCGCTCCTCTGCGTCGAGCTTCCGCAGCTGCTTCGGAATCACGAGTGCCACCATATTGCCTGCGCCGATTCATTTGTGGGAATGTGCCCTTGGCGTGAGCGAGGTTTAGTGAGGAACAAGTCTAATTTCCATCGTTGAGCAGCGGCATCTGATACCGAACGCTTGAATTGATATTACGGATAACAATGGCCTCTGTTGGCCTCAATAAGCCTCACGCTGCCCTTGGCTCCCTCTCTCCTCATCCCTCCTCTCCTCAGCTGCTCCTTCATAAAGCAGACTGCGAGTGCGCACACACACATACATATAAACTGTCATAATAATCACTTCCTAAAAGCAAACCCATCTCGTGAGGCTTTGCTGCAAATTGCTCTGAGCCACCCCCCAGAGGCTCTTCACTTAATTCTTTGTCATCTACTTCCTTAAAACATTCGAAACGAATGAACGTCTTGCTTTCGTTGACTCAATCGTCAGTTGCGCGGCCATTGCAATATTCGCCGGCGAATTAGTGCACTCTAAGACGATCCCCGGAGGATTTCAAAAATAATCGGAGTCGTTTTCTTCAGGAGGACATAACGGCGATTGTACTTGAGCGTTTAGTATGGTATGGCCGACGGCAAGATCACATCACACAAAACACCACTTGGTCTATTTAGCCATGATGCTCGAGGGGTTGGTGTTAGCGCACATGATTTTAAGTTCATATAAAAGCCACCTCGACAAGTCATCACTGGTCATCGATAAAAGGATCGAAAGTCAGGGCTGGACCGGCCATCTGAGCTGCAGGGCAGATCCCCGGTGGGGCCAGCAACTTTTGGAGGTTAATTTGTATTTTTCCTCCATTTCACTACATGAGAAAGGCCCACAGTTTAGCGACAGCAGCCCGTTGATCCATTTACAGGATAGCAAACCTAGAGAAGGGGCGGGGGGGGGGGGGGGGGGGGGGTGTGGGGGGGCCTAACTGTGTTGAGGTGAGCCAATCAATGGGCCCTGCGCAGCTTCCCTCTTGGAGGAAACGAAAGTCGGAGGGGGGGGGGGGGGGGGGGGGGTATGGAGTGTGTGTGTGTGCGCGCTTCAGCAGTTGCACCCAAACACCCTTGCTTTGCTTTTCCTCGTGACTGCACTTTAATCCCATAATTAAAGCTCAGGGCAGGCCATTTTAATGAAGGCTGGTCAGATTGATGAGTGTCCATATTTGGGCGGCTCTCGGAGTCGTTTATTTCAGTGTGCGGTTCTCCTCAACACCGGATTGCACCATCACTCAGCTCACAGTTTAGTTCTGGATATAGAAGTGCGTAGAAGAGCCAAGGCCTGCCACAAATAACGACGTCACCCAAAAAGTGTCTAATTGCCCCTCAGATGCCAAAGCACTGAATGAAGCTCCTTGATTCACTTCAACATAGCTCCTTTGTACCGAGACGCCACAAAATGGTAGCAAAGCATCACTTTTGTTTCAATGAAGCTCCTCAACACACTTTTCAACATAGTTCTTTGGAGATCATGAGGAAAAGCCCAACAGGGAAGAGTCGGATGGAGCAAAATGCCCTGCAAAGGCGCATGGCTGCATTGCCAAATGCAGTGGGAGCTGCGCACTAAATCTCACAGTTGAGACAGCATGCGGGAGCTAAAAGGAGACACATCCAGGAGTCATTAAGTCATAAAGAAAGAGCGATTCTCCAAAAAATTTGACTCGGGGCCAACGCTATTAGCGGATGATCGATGAGGCTATTCCATCGGGATCTTTACTCAATGTGGACAATATACGGTGTACACAGACACACACACCTTATCACCGTCGACTTTGGAACTAGCTCATCCTTCTATTTTGTATATGTGCCACAGATTGTCTTATTTCTTCCTGATACATTCTTACAGTCACACCGCAATCCTCACTCAGACCACCCGCCAATTTTGTTGGCTTGCCGACTCATTTTGATCGGCCTTTCTAAGGATGCGCGATCAGTGCAGCGACTGTTACGGAAAGTGACCTGCTGTATTACCTTCAATCAAACTTGCATCGTCATCCATCCATTACTCGCCTGGACGACAAATTGGAAAAAAACGGAGATATTCTCGCTTGCACGTCGAGAAAATATGCGCTATCAAGTTTGTTTCAGTCAGATCGTAGCGGCGACTGCGCAAAGGCAAAAGACTTCGGCAAGTGCAGGTGCCTGCACGTCGTACATAATTTAAGTATTATCAAGGTTCAGTTGCTGTGCGTTAATGACACAATAACTTGGCGCCCCAATGTGCACGGAGGTGATAAAGGCCGCATGAAGCCTCAATGCCCCCCCTCACCCCCATCCCCCCTCATTATCGCTTCATCCTGGCCTCATCCCTCTCCTCGCCGCGGCGCGTCAACAAAGTCCCATCAATGTCAGTCGGAGACACGCACGCAGGGCGAACTTGCGGTGGGGCTAGGAGAGACTCGGCAGTGCTCGGCAACATGACAGTCGCTCACTTCTAGTGGTTTGGGAAAGTTTACACACCCCTTTTCGAAATGCCAGGCTTTTGCGATTTGAAGAAGAAGAAGAAAAAAAAAATGGGACCAAGATACATTTCAAAACCTTTCCCACAATTATGCCGGAATGTAATTACGCCAACTATAACTTTTGGAATTACGGCCAAAAAAAACGTTCAATGTTGGTTTCACATTTTCCAACATGCATTTGGATTTTTATTAATTTTTTTCTTTGTAAGATATGGCCTCTGTCTTGCCAACCTCCCACGAAGACAAAATATACAAAAGACGATGTGAGATTGTTGAATCATGTGCTAAACAGCCAGCATTTGCCAGAAATCCCTGCAGTGACGTACAGCACATTGCATCTCTGTCAATGAAAAAGTCAAGGTGAGATTTATCAAATCGGGTCAGGAATCTGATTGTCTTGCAGCAAATGCTACGACATACAATTTCCAACACTTATGAGCCAAAAACAATCTGTTAAAAGGCTTATGTACCTTTTCCCAACTAATTTTTGTGTATTAAAATTGGACTGACAGTATCGCATTCAGAGTTGACTAATAATCATTTGTATCCAAAAGACTAAAACCAAGACTAAAGCCAAGAGGAATAAAATTGCCACGTGGCAGCCACCGCATCGGATTGACAAACAGGAGGATGAACACCGATCAGTGACGATGGCTGTTTGTTATTTCATGGAAGCTGTGCTCGCTTATCTGCGCCGCCAATTTCAAAGCGACACATGGCTTCACAGCGGGCGCGCTCACGACACACACACACAAACACCGAGCAGCGAACCGGCTAAAAGGCCACCTCAAATGCAAAAGGCAAAAAAGGTTGCCTTCGTGACCTCGACGCTACAAGATATTCGTTGATAGTCACGCCCATCAAAAAGGTCAAAACATTGTCCTGACATTCTGCAAACATCTGGGCCCCGGAACCCCTTACCTGTTTTGGGAAATAGGTTTTCGAAAACCGAGAAGATCTAACCGGACGGGAGCGCAGTCTGTTGCCGGAATGGAGTCGTGATGTGGAGTTTCCACGAGATTGCGAGTGGTTTGACCTTTCAGCACCAGCGTCGACGTGAGGGACTTTCTCTCCCCCCCCCCCACCCACCCACAGGGTGAAAAGAAGAAAAGGTGTTTCAGCCGTTTCGTTGGCCTCTCTGGGAGCTGGATTGAATGGAGAGCGAGTCAAAGAGGTGCTACTGTTGCTTTTCCACTTTCTTTCGCAAATGCCAAGCAAAAAAAAAAAAAAAAACAGCGCCAGTGTTGGACTGGCCTGACCCGAATCCATTTGCAAAC